AATGAAGAGTTTTAAAGAAATAAATGGCAATATAACATATTATCAAACATTGAATACAGCCCTAAATATTTCATTTAAATATTTTACAAGTTGCTGTGGCAGAGAATTAAATTCTCTTTATTTAATAGCAGGTAAAATTATGTGTCGCTGAGGCTGAGTATTTGAATGCACTTCATATACTATAGATATTCCACTGCTCAATTCCAGTTAATTTGCCTACAATGAAGGCCTAAATATTTACTGATAATTGGATAACATGATTTCCGTTCAAATACATATTCACATTAGTCACCCAGGACCAGGGTTTCCAAGTCTGAGAGTTGGGACCTATGTTATCTGGGTTTGCCCTTAACTTTTTCCCCAGAAGAATATGTAGTTTGCTCAAGAGGATAGGCTATTAATTTTTTTAATCTGGAATGTTGTGGAAAAATGTAACCTTTTTGTCACTGTGTATTTGAGACAGAGGTGAGCTAAATTTCCTTTATAATCCCATGGTGATATTGTGCAAAATGTCTCTAAAACAAAAGAACCAGCACTGGCCGTCTAGTATTCCTTTCTACATTTATTGTATGGGAACTTCATCATTAAATGATTTAAAAATACTATAAAATTTAGTACAGTCAGAATAATTACTTTTTAGCTGTGATGTGTATTTCCTTTGAAACATTTGTATCTCAAGCCAGTTGATGTTTGATAAAGATTATAAGTCAATATTTATTTAAGAGTGCAATGCCATGTCCGATAAAAGCCCTAAAGGACATCCTTTTAGACCTTACTTGTATGATGCTTATAGATTTCCTCAATCACATGAGCACATCTTGGTCATGGTTTATACCAGAGTAAGCAATTTCTGACCTCCAGGGCCCCAACAGAGCAATTAATCTACATGTTTTCCTAGTCATTGCTTGGTATTACATTCATGTAATCTCTTCCTTCAATAAAAAAGACTGAAAATTTTAAGATTATGTCAACAAGACTAGAGAAAACATGAGACAATAAATAATTGGAGAGAACTAAGACTATGGGAGAGGAGATATAACCTTTATTCATTGATTATACTTCAGGAAAGAAAGAAGGTAACTAAATCTACATCCTCCTCTCCTCAAGATGCTAGAGGAAAGGAAAATGAAACAAGGCTGTACAAATCTACCTTCTCATACCAAAGCTAACATTTTGGATTATAACAACATCAAACAGTTGGAATTTAATCACTTATAAAATCTTTCCACAATATCTTTGAAGATTAGGACCCATGACAGAGTTTTCTGAAATTATTGTGTTTTATTTTGCTTTTAGTTGCTGTGATAAATGCCATGACCAAAAGCAACATAGTGAAGAAAGGCTAATTTAGATGACACATCCATGTCACAGTCCAATACTAAGAAAACCCATGGCAGGAAGATGAGCAGTAACCATGGAAGAACTTGATTAGTGGTTCCACTGTAGGCTGAATCATGAACAGATAACTTTCTTATATAGTACAGGACTACCTGCTATGTGATAGTGGTGACAAATACGTACTAGTCCCCCAGCCACCAATCAAAAGAATCCCTCAAAGACATGGATGGTCACAGGCTGTACTGACCAATACAATATCTAGACTGAAGTTCACTCTTCCAAGGGAACTTGGAATAAAATTGCAATAAAATTCATTAGTACACTATGACACCAAACATTCATTTTTTGAAGTTCATCTAATTTTCCAAACAAACTGAGTTTGCAACAAATTACTTTTGAAACCACAGAGACAACATTGTTAACAAATTCAGTACTCATTTGCACCACAGTGTCATTATCAGAGACTAGTCTACAGTACAGGTCTGCTCTGTTGTCCTGTGACTGCCATATATACACTATGGGACACATACGCCTAAATTTACATTGACACTCTTTCTCGTCATCTCCCACTCTCCGTCCCTTTACTTCTCACAATATTAAAGGAACAGCATGAATTATCCCTAGAGTTGGCTCACAGAATGAGTTAGTCTCTTGATCATTTCCTGTCACACATGATCGTTTGCCTCTCTGCCTGGGATTATGCAACACAAAGGATATCAGTAGAAGTAAAGTAATGGGACTTTTTAACATAAAGAAACCACAGGAATTAAACTGCATTCTTTTAAAATATTTATAACTGTGTGTGTGTGTGTCTGTGTGGCACTCAACATGGCTGCTGGGAAAAGAACTCTGTTCATCCATAAGAACACAAGAGCTCTATCTATACTGCTGACACATCTCCACACTTATGTTCTTAGTAAGTTCATTGTTCTGTAATATCGTCATACATGAAATTCTTAGACAAAGTGAAAATTATCATTTCCACATGACTGTGAATAGACATTTCTTCCATTTTAGAACTTGGGAGGCTGAAGCAAGAGGCATCTTCAAGGTAAGCCTTAGCTAAATAGCAAACCAATAACAAAAATCTTCAAAATTTAACTTACTATTGGTATTGAAGATATTTACCGACCTACCCATCAAACCAAAGGAAATTGAGCAAGACAAAACCTGGCTAGAGATTAATTTTCAAGAGGTGGAATAAGGTAATAAATCAGAATAGTCAAAAGACATGGCATAGAGGGTTGATTAAGTTCCCAGACTAGATACATATACATGTGCACTTCCAACAAGCCACCATGGTGAGACTCATTATCAGTTAGGCAACACACAGCCCTTGCAGATGGTGTCTGGTGGTCAAATATGCATGGAAATCATTAGGACATTGGGTGGTTTGAAAATCTATTGTGCTTAAAATCATCTGTTTGCTCAAAGTCCACACAGATGACTATCTATGTGTATAATATCCCAGTGTCTATACTGGATGCAAAGTTGAAACTTTTTCAGTCTAGTGAGAGAAATGTTTTCTGATACCAGCACACATAATGACAAACATTTCCTGAGGAGGCACAGAAGTCACAGTGCTAGTTAGTTTCCCCTCTCTCATCTTGTGATATTTTTAATTTCTTCGTAGAGCATGCCCCAAAAGTAATGGATTATAGAACATTATGTGATTGTGTACTACCCAGAGTTGAATTTCTTTTGATTTGTAAATATAAATTTTTATAGAAACATCATCAGCATTTTATTGCCCCCTCCCCACAAATAGGGAGTACTAGTTTGTCCCAGATAAATCTCAAACATGTTGTGCTTTTTCTAATGCATCCTAATAGGACAATAACAAAAGCACATCTTCCAGTTTACAACAGTACTTAGTGAAATTTTGTAGTAATGCTATCCTCACTGTTTTTCAGAACAAAGGTGTGAGAAATACTATGTGTAGATACTGAAAATGTGGTAAATATATATAGTGAAAAATTGGTACATGGTTATAAGCATTTAAGCTATTGAATTTGAGGGCAGTTAGATGGGATTTGGAAAATATCATGGGTGAGTGAACCTGACACAGAAAGAAAAATGCTTAGGTTTTTTTCTTGTATGCAGATCTTAGCTACCACATTTCCATGTTTATTTAACCATGTGTATAGGAAAGACAATAAAAATAGGGACAATTAGATGGAAGAAGAGTTTGTTAGAACACATCACAAAAATATTGGGAGAGAGTATAACAGTGGGTTAAAAGGTATAAGCAAAGACCGTAGTTTTAAGATTTGAAGAATAGGGTGTATGTGGTAAAAAAAAAAAATCACACCATCCATGTCACAGAGAAAGCTAGTTTAAAACCATAGTTAAAATATAGATGACTCAGTAGATATTTCTCCATTGATGATCACTGCTGCCCCAAGTGCCATTGGCTAGTAATGAGAAATTAGTGCCAAGGATGGGATACTTTCCTTTTATTTCCCAGCCCAGGCGCAACTAAGGTCTCCCTCCCTCAAATTGCAGGTTATTGCCAATATTCTTTGTTGTCCATCACAAAGCTTTTTCGAAAGGAAACATATGGTTTGTAAACAGTACATTGAGAAATCAAGTTGTAACTTAGCTAAAAATTTTCTTTTTAATAAGTAGCTCCAAAGTAAAAGCCCTTACTTTACTACATGGTAGAAAAAAAAACCACTCAATTATTACCAGCAGTAAAACCAGTAAACCACAATAACAACCGGTCAAGAAAAATATGTATTTTCAAACACTAGAATGAATATTAGAAGAATAAATCACTCCTCTCTATATAGATTTGTGAAGACCTCCAAAGAGAAAACACATATGAAACGTTTTTAAACTACTCATTTTTATGTAGTGTGAGTGTAAGAGTTGTGTGTTTTCATGTATGTGCATGTGTGTTTGTTTGGCATGTGTATGTACATGACTCCCGGGGCAAGAAAAGAATCATAAGTCGTGTGCTTGATGTGCAAAATTGCAATGTAACTCACCAAATGTGGGTTGAAAGTAAATGTGTATTTTGGAGGACACGTGCACAAAAGAGATTATGAAATGTGTATATTTGTAATTTAACTCCTAATATTTAGTACATATAAAATGAAAACCAATTATAGTAAGTGCAATAATTCCTGTCATTTTTTGCTTTTGTTTTTCTTTTTTAAAAAATTATTGCTAGTGTAGTAGGTTTGAAAACAATTGCAGTAGAGGTTCACTTGAAAATGCCCAGTAGGTTTTTTGAAACTTTGTTCTCATTAGTAGATATGTATGAGGATGATCAAGAGCTATGGGCTCTTGATGAGTATCTGTCATAATCTCTTTTGTTCTACATTGGAACTTTTTTTTTTTGGATTTTCGAGACAGGGTTTCTCCGTAGCTTTTTGGTTCCTGTCCTGGAACTAGCTCTTGTAGACCAGGCTGGCCTCGAACTCACAGAGATCTGCCTGCCTCTGCCTCCCGAGTGCCGGGATTAAAGGCATGCACCACCACCGCCCAGCAACTACATTGGAATTTTTTATTTGTTAATTGTATCTCCACCTCTATGAATATGTTATTTATTTATTTATTTTTTGGTTTTTCGAGACAGGGTTTCTCTGTGGTTTTGAAGCCTGTCCTGGAACTAGCTCTGTAGACCAGACTGGTCTCGAACTCACAGAGATCCGCCTGCTTCTGCCTCCCAAGTGCTGGGATTAAAGGTGTGCGCCACCACCGTCCGGCTGAATATGTTACTTTTTACTCATTTGTGTGTCTCTCTGTGTTTGTGTGTGCACACATATGTGTATGTGTGTGTGTGTGTTCAATAGTAAGTGTACATGTGATTGTTAGAAGACAGCTTCAGAAAATGATACATTATTTCCACCATGTAAGATCCAGGAAGGCAATGCACATAATCACATTTACTGGGAAGAATCATGACTAGCTGATGTAAATCACAGAATATCCGGAACACGCTACCAAAGAGGACAAACACTTTTAAGTTTTATTCATTCTAAACCCTTTGACTATTTTCCCACATTTATTCTAAACATAAAGGTTCTCACAAAGTGAAAAATTTATTGAGTATAATAGGAACTGTGGATGCTAAAAGATTTTCCACATGGTTATACATGTAAAGTCTGTCTCCAGAGTGAATTCTTTAGAATGGCAGCAGGAACTCTGAAGGCTTTGGACAATACTTAAATGGATCTATGCTTTAGAATTCTTTCCACTGTAAACCTGTGCATGCGGGTTTCAGAAGCTGGATGTGCTGAAGACTTTCCCACATTACAGACAATGTGTGAGATCTTTATGCTTGTTAAAATCACAAGAATAAAGAAATAGTTCATATACCATGCGTACATACAAAAGGTTTCTATCCAGTGTGAATGTTTTTACTCTTGGACCAAGTGAATCTAGTAAAGGCTTTCTGACAATGGTTACACGCATTAGGCTACTGACTAGTGTGAAAAGTTTCAGATCTGTTATGATCACAAGAGCAGCTGAAGGCTTTTCCACAATTCTTATGTGCATAAAGCTTTAATTTCAAGTGAAATATTTTATGCCTGTTAAGGTCAATAGAATGAACAGTTTCCACATCTTTTACACACACAGGGTTTTTCTCAAGTTTGTTTTTTTTCATGCAAATCAGGAGAAGTTGAAGTGTTCAAAGTTTTCCTGTAATGTATACATGCAAAAGCCTTCTCTCTAATTTGAACCCTTTCATGCATGATCAGCTGAATGGAGTGGATAAATGCTTTTCCACAATGCTTTAATGTATGAGACTTCTCTTTAATGTGAACTCTTTTCATGAGTCTTACAGAAAGTGAAATTGGTGAAGGCTTTTTCCACAATACCTATACGAACAAGGTTTCTATGCAGTGTGACTCTTGCCATGTCTGTTATAACTATTGGGGTTGTTGAATGAATTTCCACAATGCTTACTTACATAAGGCTTTTTCTCCAGGATGAATTATTTCATGGATGTTCAGATGACTACGCCAGAAAAAGGTTTTCCCACAATGCATGCATATATAAGTCCAATGCTTCTCTGTAGTGTGGCTCTTTTCATATCTGTTACACCTACTGGGTTGTTGAAGATTTTTCCACAATGCTCATGCATAAGGTTTCTCTGCAGTGTGGTTCCTCTCATGCCTGCTACGACTACTGGGGTGGTTGAAGGCTTTTCCACAATGCTTACATACATAAGGCTTTTTTCCAGTGTGAATTATTTCATGGATATTAAGAAGACTGAGACAAGAAAAGGCTTTTCCACAATGCGTGCATGTATATTGACTCTCAACCCTGTGCATTCTTTCATGAATTCTACAAGCATTGGAATTGGTGAAGGCTTTTCCACAATACTTACATGCATAAGGTTTCTCTCCAGTGTGAATTCTTTCATGAATGTTTCGATAAGTAGAACTGGTGAACTTTTTTCCACAATGCTTGCAGGCATAAGGTTTCTCTGCAGTGTGGCTCCTCTCATGTCTGTTACGACTACTGGGATTGTTGAAGGCTGTTCCACAATGCTTACATGCATAAGGCTTTTCTCCAGTGTGAATTATTTCATGTGTATTCAGAAGACTGGGACAGGAAAAGGCTTTTCCACAATACTTGCATGTATAATGCCTCTCTGCCGTGTGCATTCTTTCATGAATACTACAAGTATTGGAATTGGTGAATGTTTTTCCACAATACTTACATGCATAAGGTTTCTCTCCAGTGTGAATTCTTTCATGAATGTTTTGATAAGTAGAACTGGTGAACTTTTTTCCACAATGCTTGCAGGCATAAATTTTCTCTGCAGTGTGGCTCCTCTCATGTCTGTTACGACTACTGGGGTGGTTGAAGGCTTTTCCACAATACTTACATACATAAGGCTTTTTTCCAGTGTGAATTATCTCATGGGTATTCAGAAGACTGGGACAGGAAAAGGTTTTTCCACAATACTTGCATGTATAATGCCTCTCTGCCATGTGCATTCTTTCATGAATGCTACAAGCATTGGAATTGGTGAACGCTTTCCCACAATGCTTACATGCATAAGGTTTCTCTACAGTGTGCATTCTTTCATGAATGTTTCTATAAGAAGAACTGGTAAACATTTTTCCACAATGACTGCAGGCATAAGGTTTCTTTGCAGTGTGGCTCCTCTCATGTCTGTTACGACTACTGGGGTGGTTGAAGGCTTTCCCACAATGCTTACATGGATAAGATTTCTCTCCAGTGTGAATTCTTTCATGAATGTTTCGATAAGAAGAACTGGTGAATTTTTTTCCACAGTGCTTGCAAGCATAAGGTTTTTGTCCATTGTAACTGCTTTCATGACTGTTATGATGATTGAATTGGGTGAAGGCTTTTCCATAATATATAGAAGCATTTGGCTTCTCTCCTATGTGAGTTACTTTATGTTTCTCAAAACATGCTGCATATTTAAATGTTTTGCCACATTCCCTACAAATGTACCATTTCTTTTCAATATGACTTTTTTCATGGTTGGTAAGATCGCTGGAATCAATGAAGGATTCTTCAGTGAGATTACATATGAATTGTTTCACTTCTTTATGGGTTCCTTCATCATTCTGGTCATATGTGCATCTCATTAAGACATTCTCATTGGGTTTATTTTCAGTATGACTTCTCTCCTGAGGCTGATCAAAACAGAGACTCCTACAGGCTTCATTACACTGTTGAATTTTACTGGGTTTCTCTTCAGGAGAAGCTTCAAGTACTTGAAGTGATTCAGAATAACTGCTATCTTTCCAATGTTTCTGATGTGTAAAAGCTTTTGCCACAGCTTCCTTAAACAGTGGTGGTTTTCCTCTAGTATTTTTTCGGAGATACCCATGTAAGGATAAATGACCAATAATGTTTCTTACATAAAATGAAGTCTCATGAGCTTTTACTCTGGGTGGCATGTCTTTATTGATCATACTCTCTAGAATAGATTGCTGGTTTTTATCACACTCAGTATAACATTCATATCCATGGTCTTTCTCAATCCCCTGAAATCTGCAAAAAAAAAAAATGAGAAAAACAATACTGTAGCCGAGAGAAATATTGGAGGTTGGCCTGTGTGGAACACAACTATACTATCTCAGAGGGAACAGATAAATGGTATCAATGTCAAGGACAATATGTATGACATGGAAAGAACCTGCCATGTGTGAAGCAGTATTGATTTTACTTCTCTAAGAATTATGAAGAAGCTGTATCACAGGCTTGGAGGTTAAGAACAATTCTTAATCTTTAAGAAAACCAGATTTAATGACAGGGATTCATGAGAAGAATTTTTTTTTTGGTCACAGCAAAAGAAAGCAGACAAAACACAGTATTGATGCTCAAAGCCTTATAAGTATGAACAGAAACTAAAACCTTTTGCACATGACAGGATGTTTTGTGTAATAATCCATTGGAAACACTTTTTTCTGCCCTCCGTCCCACTTGACATATTTGTAATATTAATAGATTAAAGACATGAAATACACAAATATTGAATGTCACAATACAATACTCCATTACAAGAATTTGTGTAGACTTGTTTTTCACTTAGGTATATTTGGAGCACTTCACAAATTCTCAATTGTCCTTTGAGTTCTAAATGTATAATATAAATTATTTTCTACTGAATAAAAAATTACCCCATATTCCTGCTGAGATCTTTATAGTCTTCTTCAATATTTTCCTCTAGTGCTTTTTCTAGAAAAAAAAATCCAGAGAATACATTATGACACATTCATATTCAACATAAAAATTACTGCAATCTAGTTCTTATGATATGGGTATGCACACTAAATTCACCACATTTTCACTTCAAGAATTCAATATCAACATGATATGCATAAGTATGACACAGTTGTTCACTGACTGGATAAGCAATGGGTATATGTAGTACTTTTTACCTATGGAGATCAGGTTCAAATATGTTTCTTTCATCACATCTCTGTAGAGCTTCTTTTGACTAGAATCCAGCACTGCCCACTCTTCCGAGGTGAAGTTCACTGCCACATCCTCAAATTTTACTGGCTCCTATGAGTACATATATTAATTAGGACGTTTATTTTCACTGAAAGACCAATAAGATATATAATCATCTTGTATATATATTTCTGAAGAAACCTCTGAGTTATTGTATCAATAGGATTTACTGAAGAATATCATGGGATTCATCTTGATTACTTGATGACTCACTGTCTCATTTACTATTTTAGTGTTTCCTTTATTAGCATCTTCACACTTCTGAATTTTATGAACTTGACTCTTTAATTGTGATATGAAATAAACTGCTTCTGCCTTAGGAAACTTTTCTCATAATAATCTGTGACAGCCGGAGGAAAAGCCTGATATAAGGTAGAGCAATGCGGAAATCCAAGCAGCGATAGAGGAAGGAAGAAGGTGGAGTCAAGATGATGCCATGAGCTGTTGAAGGAGAAAAACACCAAAACTCTTCTAGTAACCCACACCTTCATGGAGACTCACACATTAATAGAAATGGGTTAATTTAAGATGTAGAGTTAGCTAATAAGAAGGCTGAGCTAATAGGTCAAAGAGTATATAATCAATATTAAAGCAGTTATTTCATAAGCAACTGTAGGAGGTAATGATCAGGACCCAGTGGGTGGAGAGAAACTGGTCCAGGGCAATTAGAGGAATGGAGAATATTTGCAACTACATAAGGGTGCCCAATATCTGGCAACATACATCTACATAAAGCCCCAAAAAACGTTTAAAAAAGTGTTTCTAGACAGGAGTCGAATTGGAGCTTCCTGGTAACTGCATTTTTTTCCAGAGAGCCTCTGTTTGCTGGTGGCTTGGAGAGATGCTGTTCCTTTAAGACATGGCATCATGATGATCATGCTGTGTCTGGAATGATTCTGGCTCTTTCAGGAGGTCCTGCTGTGGAGCACTTATGGGGTTTGTGAGCAGTATGCAGCAACATGTTTGCTGGAGCTGGGGTGGCGAACATGGTTTAAAGAACTAGTGGTACCTCCACCATACTGAAAGGCTGAGAGAGGCAGAGTCAACATCCAGGGACTCAGAAACCATACTGCTTACCATGTAAATAAACTAAACAAAGAAAAATCTCCTTGTTAGAAAAGGATTTCAGATACACAATAGGACATATTTAGACATAAAACCCCTCTAAAGGAGACATAATGTTTCAAAAATGTGCACAGGCTTCGGTGAGAGGACAAATATAGACAAGTATAAATAGAAAGTTTTAAAAAATAAAGAATTTGAAGAGAAAGTAAAAATAATATAAAACAAAAAAGTCACATAAAAATGGAAAATACACAGAGTATCTGGATTGTGCATATTATTGTATTTTCTTTGAATTTTTCACTGCAGAGAGACATTTGATTCTAGGGACTGATAAACTAAATATATATATATAGTATTTTGACTTCCAAATTTGAGTTTAAGGATATGTTACTTTGATAAAGATGTTCTGCTTTTGTTTTCACACATGAAGAGCACCTGTGGATTCCTTCCAGGCCAATGTGTTTTGATGGAACAAGAACCACCCAAAAAGGTCTCCATGAACCCTAAAAATACTTCACCCAACAACAGCAGGAAGTAGTTTAGAAAAAACAATGTACAGACACCGTAAATGTTTGTTTATAATTGTTTGCTTTCATTTTAAGTGAGTTGATTAGAAGTGGTTAACAGTCACAGTCAATCTCCTTTTTAAAAAGAGGGTGGGGTGGAATATGATATAGAAATGAATACTTTACATTGGTATGGACTTTGGTTTCTCAGTAAAAAAATTTAGGTCAATTTTGTTATATGTATATTTCTAGTCTTGCTTAAAGTATTAGATTTATAAAGTTCATTTAAAAATGTAATGCATAATTAAAAATTACAGATTAATAGATAGTCATTAACAATAGTCAAACTTGTAATTATGTAAGTTATGTTTCCTAGATATACTGAGATATTTTTCAGTTAGATAATCTCCAACACTTCAAAGTCCTAGAGAATATGGCATTTAAAAGGCTTTAAGAACTTAGACTTTTTCAAAAGTAACACACGTCTGCTTCTGGCAGCACCAATTACTTTGGAGAGGTTGATGGGCACTGAAGAAACTCATTACAGAATTTGCCTTCAATGTGACAAGGCGCTAGCCATTTAAGCAAGAAACTGCTCTTCCCTGGACTGATTCACAGTAGTCTGTATAAATTGGACATGCAGGACCCACATCTGGCAAGGAGATTACCTCCCACCTGAACCCAGCTTCAGGCACTGCCTGAATTCCCAACAAGTCAGGATACCTTTCTCATCAAAGTTGTAGGTATCCTGAGTACCTTCCCTTCACAGTTGTAGGTAGGTATTGCCGGACTTTCAGACAAGTCAGGATACCTTTCTCATCAAAGTTGTAGGTATCCTGAATACCTTCCCTTTCACAGTTGTAGGTAGGTATTGCCGGACTTTCAGACAAGTCAGGATACCTTTCTCCTCATAGCTGTAGATACTCAGCATACTGTCACAAAACAGCCACAAGTATAGTCTGGCTTCCTGATAAGTCAGTATACTTTTCTCTCCAGAGCTGTAACACTTGCAGGTATAACCTGACTTCCCAACAGTCAGGATACATTTCCGTCCAGAGATGTAATACTTGCAGCTAACACACAACTCTCTCTGAACAATGAACCTAGCCAACTTTTGGGCATCCTTCTCGGAACAATGAACTTTATAGGGCTGTATCAATATCTTATTAAAAAATTGCAACAATGGCCATCCAGATAGAAACTAAACAGAAAAATAAAGAAACAGATGTTATGACTCAAAAAGATGTAGCAGATATCTATAAATACACAAACACAGAATTTACCTTCTTATAACCCTTCTCCAAAACTGACTATGGAACTGAGTATGTAACCATCTCCAAAACTATGTAATTGGCCATAAAGCAAGTCTCAACAGATATAAAAAATTGAAATAACCCCTGTATCTTTTTGAACTACCAAGGATTAAAGCTGGATTTCAACAACAACAGAAAGCCTACAAACTCATGGAAATTCAGCAACTTTCTACTGAGTTACCACTTGATCAAGGAACAAAAAAGATAGAAAGAAGTTAAGGAATTCCTAGAATTCAATGAAAATAAATGGTCAACATACCTAAATTATGGGACACAATGAAAGCTGTACTAAGAATAAAGTTCATAACACTGAGTTTCTTATGCAGAATTTGGAGAGATCTCATACTCAAGACTTAACACATACCAGATTTAACAGCACAAAGCTGTAGGACAAAAGGAAGCATATACATCCAAGAGCAGTAGATGGCATGAAATAACCAAATAGAGGACTGAAATCAATAAAACACAAAGAGAACAATCCCAAAGAACCAATGAAACAAAGAGTTGGTTCATCAAAAAAATCAACAAAATAGATAAACCCTTATCAAAAGTAAAGGCAGAGAGCAAATATCCAAATTAACAAAATCAGAAACAAAAAAAAATACATAACAACAGACTCTGAAGAATTCTGTAGGATCATTAGGTCATATTCAACAAGCTTTACTACATAAAATTGAAAAAAGGAATGGACAAGTTTCTTGATAGATACCACTTATCAAAGTTTAAACAAGATCAGATAAAAAGTCCAAATAGACCAATCCCTCCTAAAGCAATAGTAATCAATAATTTTTTTGATTATTTTATTGTTTTATAAATAATACCATTCAAAATTTCCACTTCCTCCCCTCCTCCCATTTCCCTCCTGCTCTCACACTCAGTCTCCCCCCTCCCCCTCCAGTCCTAAGAGAGGGCAGGGTACCTTGCCCTGTAAGAAGTCCAAGGCCCTCCCCCTCCATCCAGGCTTAGGAACGTGTGCATCCAAATAGACTAGCATCCCCCAAAACCAGCACATGTGGTAGAGTCAAATCCCAATGCCTTTATCATTGGCTTCTCAGTCGGTCCCAATTGTCAGCCACATTCAGAGAGTCCAGTTTGATCACATGCTTGTTCTGTCCCAGTCTAGCTGGCTTTGGTGAACTCCCATTAGCTCAGGCACCCTGGACCAACCCCTTGTAGTCCTGATTCCTTGCTCATATTCTCCCTCCTTCTGTTCTTCAACTGGACCTTGGGAGCTCAGTCCAGTGCTGCAATGGGGTCTCTGTCTCTATCTCCATCTGTCGCCAGACGAAGGTTTTATGGTGATATTCAAGATAGTCATCAGGAACACGCCCCACTGGATGGCCAGAAAAGTTTCTCAATAAAATTTTTCAACGAAAAGACTTTCAGGGACAGATGGTTTGAAGGTAAAATTCTACCAGCATTTCAAGGAACAGTTAATACCAATACTCTTCAAATTATTTCACAAACTAGAAACAGAAGGAACACGGCCATTTTTTTCTATGAGCCAACAGTCAGCAAGACGCCAAAACCACACAAATACTCAACAAGAAAAGAGAATTACAGACCATTTTTACTCATGGACATTGACGTGAAAATACTCAATAAAATACTGGCAACCAAATCTAAGAACACATCAAAAAGATCCTCTACCATGATCCAGAGATACACAGATAGTTCAACATAAGAAAATCTGTCAATGTAAGCCTCCATAGAAACAAAATAACTGGAAGAAAAAAACCACATGGTCATCTCATTAGATGCTGAAAATCCTTTGACAAAATCAAAGACCCCTTCACAATGAAAGTCTTGGAGCAATCAGAGATAAAAGGTCATACTGAAACATAATAAAGAAGTATACAACAAATCAAACGACAACATCAAATTAAATGAAGATAAACTCAAAGCAACTCTATTCAAGAAAAAGACAAGACTGTCTACTCTATCAATACCTATTCAATATAGTACTTCGAGTTCTAGCAAGGGGATACAAAATAGAATGGAACAAGTGTCCTTCTCTAATTCCTGTTTCAGTCCTAGTGTTTATCTCAGCAATAAAAAGCAAATTTAAAGGACATGGCTTATTGGGTTGCTCCTCAACACATCCTCAGTTTCATTCTGAGCCGGGCGATGGTGGCGCACGCCTTTAATCCCAGCACTCAGAGGCAGA